TTTCTTGAACAGTCTGATCATGTAAGTCAGATTAGATTAGCACCAGTAGGTCAGATTAGTGTAGGTCACTTTCCAAGTGATGCGCGGATAAATGGTCGGTAGTTACGCTAGACTTTTGGGGATGGGGTGAGATTAGAGAATAATAGCAGACTAATTTGTATGATGTAATTCTAGAATCTCGAAAGTTGTTCTGTTAATCTAATCAATGCATATCATTACTTGGTCTTAGTACTCGTAATGATAGAAGTCTTGCCTGAATACCGGTCATTTCCGGGTCTGTGGTGGGTCTTAATAATAATAATAATAATTTTTAAAAAAGAGAGAGTACAGAGTACATGCACTCTGAAAAGAGTACTGTACTCTTAAACAGAGTACGTCTGGTCACCCTATGTTTGACAAATATTTGCAAGTATCCGTGACTATATCGGTTCTGGCTGCTTGTTTTAGTATTCAATTTAATTCTAACTTCTCGATTCCAAAATTTTTTATCTCGATTGGAGAAAAATAGCATATGTTCTTCGGATTAAGATGACATTTTTTGTCTCGCAAATGTTGTAATATATATAATATATATGTTTAAAATGGAAAATTTGTATAAGGAAATACCGATTTTGCAGTTAAGCTCAGCCCCCTTGGTTCTAGGCGAATAAAAAAAAATCATCACAATCGAGATAGGGCGGGTGGTCGGGCTTACATTTTGCCATTTTGTTTTAATAAGTGTAGATTTCTTTTCATAACAAGAAACTTGAAACATATTTAAAATGGAAAATTTGTATAAGGAAACATCGATTTTGCAATTAAGTTCCTCTTCATAATTGCGAAATCCGTACGTCCTTGCAAAAATGTACCATTTTAACCATGTTCTAAGTTTCTTGTTGTGAAAAGATGGCTATGTATACTAAGAAAAAACAAAGGCAAACTATAAGCCCCACCCACCCACCCTATCTCAATTCTGATGATTTTTTTTATTCGTTGTCAGACCGAGGGGTAATTGCACAATCTATATTTCCCTATACAAATTTACCATTTTAACCATGTTCTAAGTTTCTTGTTGTGAAAAGATGGCTATGTATATTAAGAAAAAAACAAAGGCAAATTATAAGCCCCGCCCACCCACCCTATCTCAATTCTGATGATTTTTTTATTCGTTGTTAAACCGAGGGGTAACTGCACAATCTATATTTACCTATACAAATCTACCATTTTAAGCATGTTTTAAGTTTCTTGTTCGAAAAATACGACTACGTATATTAGGAAAAAAGGCAAAATATAAGCCCCGCCCACCCACCCTGTCTCAATTGTGATGACTTTTTTTATTCGTCGTGAGCCAAAGGGATGGAGCTTAATTGCAAAACAGTGAACATCAAACAAAAACAACAACAAAACTTTTTTCTGTTATTTGTATATTACATCATAATCTACTATTATATTCCTCTAGATTTTTCAACTTCCAAATAAAGAAGGTGAATAAGTACTACTATTTTCGATGGAGGTGGAACAAAAGTGTTCTTACGAGAAAAAATGGTGGTTTTTACAACGGCTGGGATCTTTAATTTCAAGAAAAATATGTTACAAAGTAAATTATATTTTATAGACTTTATGTATTAAAAATTATGTAATCATAAGCAACACATTTCTATAAAAAAAAGTATTTGTATATAAGTAACCGTTTTCTACGCCTCTGGTCTCATACGAGTGTATGCCCCCAAAGTAGGTGTTTGTATCTTCCACGCATTTTTACATTACTGGCTGCATAGTCTACATACAAACATATCCCATAGTTTCTTATTTATGTCATAATTATTATCTACTTGTTTTTATTAAAAAATATATATATTTTTTTACTACAAAACACGTTGTAAACATGACAAAAAAAAGGAAAACTAAATGTGCGTCTCTGTATAACATTCGAAATTTTGTCAAAATTTTTGTTTGATTCCCATAGTCATACCTCAAGTTGCTGTTTGGTTTTTTTTGTACTATGGAACATAGTTTTCTAGCTACAGCTTTTGTACATACATGATACTTCGAAAAAAAATTGCATATATTATATTTATTTCTAAAAATTCTTGCTTTACTTTACAATTTACTCTATACCCACGCAGCAAATTTACTCTATAATTAAAATTACCCAATGTTTCGTTTAAGTTTTCGGGGCTTTTCAAAGTTTTTTACGTCTGTATATAACATATTATAATTATCCGAAACTACCAAGCTGTTACTTTGAAGTTTAAGGTGTATTTTGGGATTATTAGGTGAGTAGATAATAAAATGCTAACCGACAATTTTCTGGTTGTTATAGTTCATTTTTTAAATGGACAGAAAAATCACGCAACCCAAAAAACATTTAACTGTCTAGTTAAATTTTTACAAGTGTTGCATGAAAATCAAGAATTAGTTTTCTTCATTGTATACTTCAGTGGCAGTTAACACATTATCTTATAACCTAAAACTTTTCCTCATTTATTTTAATATGTAATCTAAGATTACACTTTTTTTAAATATATATATATATAGGGTGTTCAAAAAATGGTCCATCGACTCTATGACACAGTTCAGGACCTTTCATGAACCAGAGAAAAAATGCGTTATTAAAAAAAACCTTTTGTACAAATACAGACGATTTTTTTTTAATTTCATCATATTTTAATTCACTACTTCCAAAATTCAAAATAATTTTGGAGGCATCTTGTCTTTATCCATACATTTCTTCATTTTACAATATTAGAAAAAACTTTAAAATGTTTAGGATGAATCTGACGCAAGTAGCTAAATTTTGACGTTTTTTGATCGATTGATCTCAATCGATATTTTGTGTTTTTGTAAGTGAACGTCAAATTGACTTAAATTTTGTTTATCATTTCTTTTGCTATGACAATTTTGAGAGGGTGTCATCACATTGTTGCTGGAAATTAATTAGGCACATTTTGGTTTGCGTTTTCTCATCTAGACGATATTTTTAAAATAATACAAAATATGACAACAATCGGTCCAGTAGTTTGGGAAATTATCTAACTAAAAATATCGATGTACAAGGCAGACAGGCGCCAAACACAGAGAGAAATTGGAGACCGACTTTTTCATACACTAGGGGCCAAAGTACATGGAAAACGGATAGATTCTATTACATTTCTGCACTAACCTCCAAAACTACCGAACCGATTGTATTTTATATGTATGTTAAGAATATCGTGTAGATGGTAAAACGCTAACCAAAATTTGCGCAATCAATCAATGTCATGAGATCTCAAAAATGTTTATCATAAATTTGATAAAATAGCTAATAAATTTCACATTTTCCATTAATTTTATCGCGTTTCTTACACTTTCATTATGAAACTTTCAAATTTGGAAGCCCCTTTTGTTTGGCAAGGCTCTAAGAGCCCTTGGATACAGGCGGCGCCATTTAACATAATTGTTTGAGTATGGATTCTGGTCCCTCAAATTGCGGAGTCGTTCGTCTGTGCATCCTAGGATATTTATTGCGTTACCACAATCAATCAACAGGTGGTAGCTCTTTAAATTGTGAACAGAATATATTATTCTGATTGCCGTTTCATGTAGTTCTAGATAGTCTTGGACCAATATCAGTGAGTCTAACTATGGCTTTTAAATGAGGCGCTTGGAATTGGCTTAATCCATTGTGAAATTATTTCCTTATTCTCATCAAAGTGTATGTCTTTTTTTCCGTTTCTGGGTTGCAGATTTATTGACTTAAAATTTTTAAAGCGTTTTAATAATGATCCCACATAAAACTTTATCGAAAGCGCAGCCAGTATTGCCAATGCGTTTTATTTGTTTGAAAGCTGGTTTAATCGGGATGGCTCTTAACTTTGTTTGAATTTCAGAATTTCATATAAGAACGTTTATACTTACGAAAAAATACAAACTTTCGCTAATTACTAATCTTGAAAAGGTCAATTTACCTTGTAGAATTATCGGTCGAAAAAACCGCATCGATTTTAATTATCCGCCAATCCCTCTTATTTTTAATTACAAATTTAAAATTTTGCAACTTTAATATTACAACCGATGTTACGTTAATTGAATTTCAATCACCATAAAGTGGCTTGTCAGACTAACATTTGGTGGTATATTGGCAGCGCTAGTTTAGATCATTCCAGTGTAACAGTTTAATCTCGTAATCTGTTTAAATCTCCTATTCAAAATGTATAACATGCATTGAAAAACACTAAAGCCGCTCCATATCGCACCGTTAAAAACAATTACATTTAACATAAAATCACAGCGCTGACACGATCCTCAGCCTTAACGAAGATCCGTCTCGTGGATTAAATTTAAACTTCCTTTTAAACACACTGTCGCAATTAATTTTATAGCATATAAAAACAAAAAACGAACTTCATCCGAGACACACTTCACAGCTTCGCAAATATTTGCCAGTCCTCCTCTCTCTTACCTCAAATAGCCTTAAACTTCATTTCTTTGATGAAATATGCAGATAAAAGTCACTTACCTTTCTCTAAATATCTCATGATTTAGCAAAGTACACAGCGAATGCTTATTACTCGTCGAAAGCAGGACAACACAGTTTTTCCCAAGGGAATTAAAAACAGCTTGTTTTTACCTCTGAATATCGATCTTTATGAAGTTGCGAGTGTTTTGCAGCTCATGCTGTACGTTTAATGGTAAAATTACATGACTAGCGCTATTTAAGAACAAAATTATATCGTGTGAATTACCACTGTAATACAATCGCTGTTTACCTTACTTTCCAACATATTACATGAAAGTTTTTTTGGTTACATGCTGCTTTCTGATATACAAAAGCGATTATTGTAAATCACCACTCTCGTAATTGGCTATTCATTAAATCGCCCCGAAATGACTGATGCAAAATGAATTACTCAAGTTTTCGTTGACGTTGCAGAGTTAAGCCAACTAATCTCTAGTGGCTGTTCTCATAAAAGCTCCATTAGCAGGTTGACAGTAGTGACCTTGATACATAAAGGGGGTGAAGGTTTGAATAACAGACGAAGTAAGACATAGTTTATATTTTACAATAATATAATACAATTGAAGTCAATGTTGTTTATATAAATAATGTGATGACTTACAAAATGTAAACAACACTTGCATTATTTGTACATTTTAAAAATCACCAATTCACTTATATCGTTAAAAATAACATTTCGTGTGACACTCAAAAATCAAAAAATGTTATTTTTCTATACTAATACAAGTAGAGGCGTTATAGAAATACTGGCAAAAAACGTCAGAATTACTGGTATAAGTACGTCACTTAGGAACATTATATAAAAAAGAAACAGTGGCAAGTAAAGGAATGTATAAACAAGTCTTTGAAAGTTAGAGGAAAATAAAAATGGCGATAAAACTACGTCACGACTCGTTGTGAGTTAAAATAATTGCAAAAACACCGTTACAGTGTCTTTTAATAAATACTGTGAACGTAAAAAAATAATACTGAACATAATATACAAAAATAAATGTTTCGTTTTAATCTTCTATATATAAAACCCAGCAGTTAAAAATGGCAAGGCTAAATATTGGCAAATATTAGATACATATATACAAAAACAAAGACATCTACAACAGTGCCGACTCGCACCAAAATTTCGAGTGGCACGCGAAAAAGCGCTCTCGGAAGCAAATTTTCGCGCGCTTATTTGGTCATTAGGACGGTAATTTTTCGTGTATTTAGCCCGAATTATAATAAATACATGGATAATATCGAGTTTTTCAGTCAGTTTTCGGTTAAACTAAACCATACAGGGTAAGATAGGAGGGACTCGGGTAGGAAACTCAACAAATAAGGAGATAAGTTTGTCATCATAGCTGCCGTTTCAACACGAACACCCTGTATCTTACAAAGAAGTTATAAAATTATATAAAAAATTAAAATTATATAGTCATTACTTAACATTATAAATATGTACATTTTGCAAATTTTTATACACTGTTGCTACTTTATCTTTCATGTAAAGTATATAATCGTACATACACTATAATCTAACAATTAGTGAATTTATTTCTTTTATTTATTATTAAATTTATTCCCGGCATTCACACCCCGGGGGAAAAATTATCACCGTTTACGTGACTCTATCTAATTTGTCATATTTGCTTTGTTCATGTTTACGTCAAAAAGCGGAAGTTGCACTTCCCCAAAAGTGAGATTTTTGATTAGGCCGAAACCGTCTCTCCTGATATCGATATCATAGGCAATTCGAGACATTCACACAAATTCAACAAAATTCTCGGGCTCCGGGAGCTGGTGCGGATCAACAACAACAACGTGAAAAAATAATATCGGGATCTGTCATGAAGTCTATCACAAAGTTGTCTTTATTGAATCCAATTTTGTACAGTGGTAGAGGTGCCCAAAATTTCACGCGACATAATACCCGGAACGCGTAATTCCTCATTCCGCATCGACCTAATTGACGACTTAAAACTTCTACCACGAGGGCCGCATTATTGCCAAAAAACGCAAATTAGTTACCAAACCGAAAACTTATTGCTTTAAAGTACCTACGCATAATCACAATTTTTGCTTTTTAATACTCACTTAGAATACCCTGCAATTCTTACAAAACTAAAAATTATTTGTATTTGTTGATTACTGAAACGGACTAGCGGCTGTAAACCGAAACTCGGTTCAAGCTTGTCCCAGACAAAATTGCCGCACAAATTGGCTTTCCTCAGACACATCTCGTTGGATTACGTATCTAGTTTTTTATGAAGGTGGTGGTTTTACGTCGAATTATTACGCCAGAGTTCTTCTGGGACAAGCCTTGTTGAGAATACCCGTCAGCCGAGCAAGAGATAGTTGCTAACAAAGTATAGAAATTCTGTTCCCGTGATCCTTGAGATTCTTGTGGAGTGGCTAAGAAAAGAAATTTTCTTTTGGCGTGGAAAGTTCGCCCGCCGTACTTTAACCTTCCCTAATTAATTAGTTTACAAGTAAAATATCACTCCTAATAGATTACTTTATGAGAAACGCTAGACTTTATTAATCTGAAGCGAGGATGAGTCAGCTCATAAATTATTACCGATATTAAATTATCGATTGAGTATTCTTGAAATTTTTTAAATTCTTATGTGACGTAAATTAAGTAGGGGCCTGGCTTTAGATCCGCTTAATTTGGAAGCTAAAATCACTCGAGTATCACAAAGCAGCATCGAACGCGCTAGATGAGTTTACCCAAAGATATCGACCGGTGCTAAATCTGGCAACTTTCTGTTTGACCACCTTCGAACTAATCCAAGTCAAACAAGAGGAAGCGTCCGACTCTTTCCGAACGATAAATTATTTTCGTCGACAGCCATCACAGTATTTATAACGGAGTTAAACTGAGAACGAACATAAAACAACGGATTAAACAAGAACGGAACATAATTGCCCTCATAAAGCATCCGCGTCTCGTCCTTTACTTTATGATCGATAAAATGCAATCAGGGTTCATTTTACCCAATTTGCATTTAACTCCGTAGAGCTCGGCAGAGGTCGATTTGATTATTAAGCACATAGGGATACTCCCAGTCGACGAATTTCGGTTATTTCGTAAAACTCCAACGTTTGCAACAGTTGCCGCCGGCATAAACCGACAACGATCTCAACTTCTTTCCTTTTGAAATTGTGTACTTTATATCCGTTCTCAGTTTCACTCGATTGCACCGCACCAAATGTTACTTCTTTAGAAAATCCAACAATTGTGCGAGACGTCTCTAAATCTACGTCCACACCAGCTCGCGGACACCTCGGGAATAAGACTTTCGCAACGTAATAAATATTTAAACCGCTACTATCGAACCGCCCTTTTTGCATACCGAATCCCAAAACGTATTTCACGCGTCACTGAAATGACTCACGTCGTTATTCTGTTGCTTCTTTGATTTTTTCGGTTTCTCCACTTCGTCCTGCAGATGCCGGAACCTTACGAAACCCTGTTCGTCCACGAGCATCGAGTCCTGGATCTGGTGCCTGCCGTCGTGGTTCGGCAACGTCTGGACCCCCAGGTGAGGTCTCGCGTGATTCTTGCGCGTCCGACCCGTAGACCGTCTCCCCGAAGTATTCGAGGAGTTCCTCGAACGCCTGTCGAAGTCGTTGCGCTCGAATTCGTGCCTCGTCCTCTCGTACTGGTGATTATTATCAACAGGTTCGCTGTAAATATTCCTGTCTTGGGTGTTCCCTCCGAAACCTTCGTGCTGATAATCCTCGTTGTTGTACTCCACTTCGTACTTCGGCTTCGTGTAGTACTTGGCCGAATCGTACGTCTTCCTCGCCGAGTTCCGCGACGAGTTGTGAGCCCCGCGCTCGAAATGCCCCGAACTCGGCTGAATGAAGTTATTCAAGCTCGTCTGATCCACGTTCTGGCGCGATTCGAAGCGATCCGAGCCCCAATTCGGCCGCTCGAACCGATCAAAGTTGCTGTTGCGCTCCGAATCGCTGTGGTACCTCTCGAGAGTCGACTTCTTGTCGAACGAATCGTTCTGGAAGGCGTTCTTGAGGAGGTTCGGCCTTTCAACCGTTTCCGACGGAATATTGTCCATGATCATCTCGTTCCGGCTGTAGTTGAGTGCGTTGGGATTCGTATTGCAGTTGTTGGGGTAGATGTTGTCAGTACTCGAATCGCTCGTGGTGCACGGGAACAAAGGAAAACCGCCAGCAGTCTGTTTTTCTCGTTGCGACATCTTCAAGCTCACGACGATGGCCAAGAGGGTGATAATGGAGATCTCGAGGAAGCGCACCGACAACTCGAAACCCCATAAAATCCAATGGTGTTTCGTTTCGCCGTTGAAACGGTCTTCCTTGATGAAGAACAAAGCGTATAATTGCACGAAACCCAAAAGGACGAAGAGGAGGGCGACGGCGATGGTGATGTGAGAAGCGTAAGATATATTCTGGGTGCACATTTCCGACAGGTTTTGGCTTTTCTTCGCCAGAACATTCTTGATAATGCGATATAAATATAAGTAACTAAAGCCTAAGGCCCACGCCAATAGGACGAACACTGGCCTGCACACAATCAAACTCGCCTTCTCGAAATGACCGAAATTCTCGAAGGTGCTGAGGCAGAAACACAAGACGATGTGTAAAAGAGCGAAAACGACAAGAAAAACTGGCCTAGTTTTCACTTCCAGGTGAGTCAACGTCCGCTTCAGTAGGAACAAAATAAGAACAGCGAAAGTTGTAGCCAGGAGACTTAAAGGGAAACTGTGTAAGAACTCGTAGAGGAAAATATTGAACGACTTGTCTACGTTGTAGGGGTCGTACGTTAAGTAAAATATTCTTAAGACGCAGATCACGGTCAGCATGAGATGGATAGTGAGGAAGTAACTCTTCGAAAACATGTGTGGATCGTTCTCGTACCGAATCAATTTATAAATTGAATAAATCGCGAGAAGAATGTACCCGAAAACGACCAAATACACGTGGACGTTCCAACAAATCAACCAAATTTCTTCCGAACTGGCTTTAGTAACATTACTAGTGTCCTTCTCCTTCACGTTGGGTAAGTTAACCATGTCAGACATTTGCGTCGTCACGTCCTCAGCGTGTTTCTTTTCTTGCACCGGGATGTCTTTCTTAATAGTGACGCTTTCAGTCCGATCTGGGGGTTTAGCTTCTTGTACGATTTCCTTTTTGGTGATCGCCGGTTCGCTGTTATCTTCGACTTCCTCCTGAACCTCCGTTTTGGTGTTTTTCCCTTCGGGTTCTTGTACTTTGAGCGACGGTTCGGCCGCTGGTGCTCTAGTTTTTGTTGTTTTGGGTTCTTGGCGTTGAACATTAGGAGTTGCCGTTACCGCTCGATACAGAATATCAGGAATCTGTATATCGTCGTGTCTTCCGTTCGACCCGCTCAAGATCCTCGTGATTGACGGCTCGGGGGCATAGCTCTTCTCGTACTCAAAACTCGTCTCATTGTGGTTCCTATTCAACCCGTAAAATTCTCCAATCTTTGCGTTCTGCGAGGGCGTATTGAGAGTCTTCTTCTTTTCGTTTTTATCGTTCTGGGGATTCGGCTTCGGTTGTTCGTTCGGCTTCTCTGGTATTCTTTCGGCGTTGACTTTGGGTAAGTCGGGCCTAAACGGTATTCGATCTTTGTTCGGCATCAAGCTAGGGGGCGGGATCGGTCGCCTGCTCGCGAACCCATCCGAGTTGGTCCCCCTCAGGGTCGGTTTATCGGCGAAGGGATTTTGATATTCTGGAGGTAACGGCGGCGTGAAGAACGCCCGACTCGGAGGAACGTAACTGGGAATGTCTTTACTGTACATGGATTTCGTCGGTCTGACGTTACGCAGGAGGTTGTAAGCCGTGGTGGTTTTGTACACGTTCTCCGTGACTTGCTCCTGCGAGTCCGGCATAAAGTCCGGCCTTAACCGGTCGTTGTTGTACCGATTCGGGTTGTTGTAATGCTTGTTGTTGTTGTTCTTCAAGATGTCCGCCGCCGGCGCCGACGTCGGCAGCACGTGATCTTTCTCTAATTCGGCCCCGTAGCCGTCGTCCTTCTTCTCGTTGGTGTCGTATTCGGCCGGCTCGAAGTCGACGCTGCTGCGCCCCGACGGCCTATCGTTATTTTTCACGTCGACCCTCAGCCACTCTTCGTTGCCGTCCGAGTATCTGTAGGTCGTGAGCAGCGGCGTCGCCAAGGTCGTGACCGGATAGGCGTTGTCCGGGATCGATCTCTTCGTCGTGCTGCCGTAAGCGACCTTATTGAAGACGGCCGCGATGCTCTGCTCCAGGTTTAGCTTGTCGAGTAGCTGTTCGGACTTGTCAAACTCGTTCGAGTACGCATGCGCACTACATAACAAACAATAAAGCAACAACGGCTTGTAGGCGATACACGTGAGCTTGGAATTCTTGAAAATTGACGATAATCTCGTTAATAGGCACGTACATATTGTTACAAACACGTATAAACTTAGCAATAGTCTTAATTTAATAGTACAGTTGTTAGGTCCACAGTCTTGTTGAAGTAACGGACAATCACAGATATATTTGACGCGGCGGCGGCGTCGTTTCTTGCCGACGACGCCGTTCGCCGGCGACGGCGGCGGCGTCGGTTCCTCGCGAAACTCACTAGGTTTTAACATCGTTCCGGCAATGTTCTCGTGTCGACGCACTGGAGGAGGTGCATCGTCGTGGAGGTACTGGTAGACGGCCGACGTGCTGCTGGAGAGCATTTTACCTCATCTTGGGTCGATCGGGGGCCGAGCCTTGGGCGACAATCGCTGTTGCGCACATGTGAAGGTACCTGAAACAATTAACACTTATGACAATCCGTTCGCTCAGTTCGAGGGGTCGTGTTTTCGCTGTTATGAGCAATAGATGCGCCCATTAAGCGACGGCTGCATTAACTTAATTGATTTGTGAGTCACGAGCTAACGACTACTCCTACTGATACTATTACGTCTGAATTACCGAAACCCTTAACAATTACGCCCGAACAAAGCGATCGCTTTAATTACCGACTTTTAAGCTGCCGCTTTCTCTATTTAGAAGATTCCGTCGAACAATTGATGTTTCTCTTTTTCAAACTTTCAGACTTTAGTCTAAACGGTCTTACTCGGACCGAGATCGATGCCCCGAGGTCGCTAATCTGAACTTAACTTAAATGAAATATTAGTGCATACAAAATTAATACACTTTATAGCAACTACTCGCATGGCTCATTTTAACATGAAGTTAACGTCCTGGACAAATTTCTTTTGGAAAAAGTTTGAGAACCAATACCCTGGCGGATACGCCACTGCCGAGATCGATGCCGCGATGGCCTCGGCTCTGATCTCCGCCGTTATGATTTTTGTTGGTAAGCCGCTAATCTGAACTCCGCGATAGTTTAAGCCAATTAAACTCGCGGCAACACGAATTAATCAAAATCGGTCGATACAGTGCATCAAAGTGTAAAGCAGCGCTTTCTCCGTCGGTGGAAAAATACCGAGGAAAAAAACTCCCTTCGCTTTATTGCTATCCTGACCCTCGCCAGTTGGACGACAAGACCATTCCTAAAAGCGACCTTTCAAATAGCTTATCAATTGACCGTACAGGTGCTCCAAATCGGTCGGTTAACCGATTTAAAACGTGAATAACCCCGAAAAGTCTACTCCATCTGAGATATTCATAAGACAGTATTGCGTATGTTTCGATTTGTCTGTCGGTCGACGAAATTGGATCCCGTCCAAGAATTACTATTGGATTCTTATAAGTTTGATCGGAACAAACAAAAAAGTATTGTTTCTCTTGTTTCAAAGTACATGATTGATCTGACTAGGAGCTGAACTTTTCGACTGGGTTAATTTTACAGCAATCTTATCGTCCGCTGATTCGTCTTTATGCTTCCGTAGCCCTTTTTCGCATGCTAGAAAGAAATTGTTGCGATTTACGCCGACGTTAGTGCTTTGGAGCTTCGTGCTTTCGGTATAATGTGTCGCGCCGGTGTAGGCTATGTTGTGAATATTGATGTGTTGTCGCGGATGGTGTTTTTATTGCCTTTAAAATGTCATCTCGGATCTTCTGCTACCACAATTTGTTACTTTTATTGTCTTCGGGAACCTTGGAAATTCGCCGTTACGACATTGATACGAGCTCTTGAAAGTCTCGCCAAAGTAATTGAAAACCAAGATTTGGAAAGACGGACGGTTCGTAATCTGTGACGGTTTGTCAATGCGGCTGGCACGACGATAACGATTGAAATCAGGTAGCGTCTTGGCCGGAATTTTATTTGGATTGTGATAGGTTGAATGGAACCCGCAATTTTTTGTTATTATTCCGAGTGCAATTTTGTTGATCTTTTGTGATTACACTAAATCAATATTTAAAAAGGGAAACCTCAAGGATGATCAATTCGAACAATTCCTAGATCTAGATGCAGTAAACCAGGGAAATTTCAAAACCAAATTTCTAATATATTTTAAGTGGACCTAACACTTGTCGATCATACATTATTAGAAATGTCTCCAAAAACCATAAAACATAAGAAATGAAATGGAAATCAGTCTGAATTTGTCAGAATAAATTACTTCAGGAACTTAGATTCTCGCCAGAAAACAAAATCTATTGCGGGATTTTATTACACCAAACATTTTAAGTAAGAATACAGTCAAAGCAGTCTTTGTAGTAACAATTTTATCATAAATTCTAAAAAAAGCTTTTCAAACCAAGTACACTTTTTACACAATAAAATGAAACTTGTGGGAACCACATAATAGTTAGTTTTATTGTCTTGGGGAACCTTGGAAATTCGCCGTTACGACATTGATACGAGCTCTTGAAAGTTTCGCCAAAGTAAAGCTCGTCCCAGATAATACTGTCGCATAATAATTTCGACGAAAAACTACCGAGTAAAATTTATTTGCATAATTTCCATTGTCTATTTTTATTTTTACTCCTTCCATTAATTAAACTTTGTACATCATCATCCGATGACATTTTTGTATTTTTTGGCTTTACCAATTTCTGGTTTATACGTGTCACGAGGGTTTTCTTTCTTTTTCTTTTAATAAATTCGATTTGGATTCTTTTCAGTCAATCTATGGCATTCTTCCTATAATGACTTTATCGGATTTTTTTTTTGCTTAACTCGCTGAACGGTTGATTTAGTGGCTCTTACAGAAAGTTTTGGATTTTTTATAAAGTTGTTTTGTCGAAATTTTTGTGTCTTTATACAATACTTCTTTCACCGTATCTTTTTAACACACTGTGTACGGTCTTTACTGAGGTTTTTAACTTTACAACAATCGTAGAACACCTCGATACTGAAAATATTTATACAATATTTTTTCACGCAACTGTTCCTGATTGAACGAATATTGTGTACACGGTAAAACGCTAACCAAAATTTGTCTGATCATCCCCACCACCAATGTGATGACGTCACCTCAAAATTTTGCATAGTAAATGTTCCATAAATTTTATAGAATAATACTTTTATAATGGGGTTTTGAACTCGCCTGCATTTTATTAAATTTTATGTTAACAACGTTTACCAACGCCGTAATTTATGAATTTCGCTCCATTTTGCGAAAAATGTGGGAATATAGATCTGTTCTTGGTGATCCATAACCTCCGAGGTAAATGAGCGAAATATGAAGACAATTGTTCTTATTAATATTACATGGACCCTCTCAGATTGATGTATGATGTTTTGTTATGGCGGAACTCACTTAAAATATACGCATAACATGATATGTTAGGTATGAATAGTTACTTAACGAACGAGTTGAATTAAAAAAGGCCGACATTGTAACTAACCATTAGCCAACGTGATAGTTACAACATTTTTTCGGTGATCGAAATCTTTCAAAATCAGAAAATAAAAATTAAATTATGCAATTGAATTGTCATTCGATTTTTGTGTCCCATTCTCTCAATTGAACGTCCAAAATTGACAGATTACAATCAAAACAAAACGATAAATATGTTCATGTGAGACAAGGGAAGAAAATTCTTTAAATTGAGAACAAATTTTAAAGAGAAAAAACGAAATTAAATTTTTAAAAAAAGAACTTCAGTTAATCAATCCTAATAAGAGTGTGATTTCATTGATTTTTATGAAAATTTATGGTTAGATTTGTGATTGTGCAGTTGCTGAAAGTGCTCAATTTAAAGTCAGCTTTATATCTTGGTTTTCCTGGAAATTTGTCACAAAATTTAGTGCTGCAAAACCATTGAAAGAGTTTGGTGTTGCATTTTGGGAATGAAATTAATTTTTTCAGCGACTTTCACTTTCTGTGATAGTTGCCAACTTTCAGTCCCCCTGTCGCTAATTTCAGGATCAGTTAATAATGAAGCAGAAGACCGCCGAAAACAATGTCCGGTATACAAACGCGGTTGCTGTAATTGTCACAAAATTGCTATTTGGCAAGGTATTTTCAAAATGTGTTGATTCCAATTGGTTGTGTTGAAAAATCTATCGTTTTTCAGAAAATGAAAAAATAAGTAATGTGGAGTATGGATTGGTCTGAGAGTAGTGTACTTACTGCCTTGTTACATTTAATACCTTCTTTTCCTCGTTTTCTACAAATGTTAATATTCTCTGTGTATGTATTTGTTTTAGATGACTTAATAGTCACAAGAACTTTGAAATTCAAGTCTTGAACATCTGTTTTTTCCAGTTTTAGAAATTCGTATTTTCTTAATGCTCGAGCCACTCCAAGGATTAGTCAACCTGTAAAGTGCGATATTTTTTGTTCGTCGTTAAGAAGAGGTCCTTTGAGTGTCAGATATGAATTTTCAGTCCTTCAGATTTTTTAACAATATGACTCAGTTTTTCTCTTGGGAAATATGTTTAGTTTGTCATATGTACTGATGTCATTTTTTTTCAGTTTTATTAATTTAATTATTAAAATTTATGAAAAATATAGCGCTTTTTGGCTTTTTATAGATTTTGGAAATTTTGGTTTTCAAAGTAAATTTTTTAAAAATGCTAAAAATTGTCAGTTCAGTTGGCGATTTTGGAAAAACGGTAGAAATTTTCGAAGAAATGAAGCCGAAATAACTTCTACATGTTAAAATCCACAAAAAAAAAATAACCAGGTCTCGAAGTTGGACGAAAAATGGTCGAACATTTCATAAGGTGTGTTAAAAATTAAGCTTTTGAAAATGTTGCCTATAAAATAAAAAAAAATTCTGGGACATACGAGTAGATCTCGATAAGCTGATTAAAAAAAATAACGCCTTTGTGATCCCGTAGCAAGATTTTGGAAATTTTGGTTTTCGAAATAATTTTTTTTTTAAATGTTAAAAATTGTTACAGTTCAGTTGGCGATTTTGGAAAAACGGTCGAAATTTTCGAAGAAATGAAGCCGAAATAACTTCAAAAAAATAAATAAACGAGTGTCGTAGGTGGACGAAAAATGGTCGAACATTTCATAAGGAGTGTCAAAAAATTGAACATTTGAAAATGTTGCCAGTAAAATAAACAAAAAAATCTAGAATATAGATCTCGAAAGATATAGCGTCTTTGTGTCTGGAGCAAGATTTTGGAAATTTTCTTTTTGAAAATCAAAAATGTTTTTAAAATTCTAAACATTGCCATACTTTAGTTGGCGATTCTGGACAAACGGTAAAATAATTTTGAAGAAATAAAGCCGAAAATAACTTCTAGCTATAAATTCTCCAAAAAAATCTCGAACTAAATTTCGGAGGTGGAAAAAAAATGTAATAAAAAATTGAGATATTGCCTAAAAATCGCAAAAAAATCTGGGATCTCCACAAACAAAGTCGAAAAACAGCGCTTTTGTGATCTCAGGACAA